ACCTCCGTCAAGATGGTGGTTGAGAAGTTTAGGAAGGCGAAGGCGCGCTCAGCGGCCTTCAAATACATTGAGGGGATGCGTGAAAGCGGCTATGAGAAGATGCCCCCTGTAGAAGAGACGCTGGCTAGCTATCTCTCTATGGGTGAGACATCCTCTCTTAAGACTCCCTCCTTGCCATCTAAGCCCCTTCAGGATACATCTCGCTTAAATGGCAGGGCATACGCAGCAGCAGGTCAGGCTGTCGCTTCGTTGCACACAATGGCGGTGCTTCAGGCGTATCAGGCTGATCTACTGAAAGACCTGGATAAAGGCGAGGGCCTTTCTCCGGATGCGGTAGCTGAGTTGCGCCACACCACAGATCTCGCTCTCCGTGCTACTAAGCAGGCCGCCTCTGCTATGGGCAGGTCCATGGCGGCTATGGTGGTAACGGATAGACATCTGTGGCAGATATCGGGAAGAAAGAGAGGGGCTTTCTTCTCGATTCTCCGGTTTCGCCTTCCGAAATTTTCGGTACCTCCGTCAAGATGGTGGTTGAGAAGTTTAGGAAGGCGAAGGCGCGCTCAGCGGCCTTCAAATCCTTCATTCCACGAAGCTCCAGGTCTGAGCCCGAACAACCCAGGGCTCCTGGCCCGTCTTGGTCTGAGGATCAGAGACGGGCACAGAAGGTTAGTGTCGCGGCTCGCGCTCCTCCCCCGCCTGTGGGTCAAAGGGAGGTAGGCAAGACCTAAGGGATGTGATCCAGACGAGGCACCAGTGTTTTCTGGGACCTGTGTGTTTCTGTCCTTTTCTAGGGTAGGTCCTCGGTGAGCACCCCCTCTGCTGGATTCAGAAACCGGGTTCTCGACTTGCAGTGATTGCCTCAGTCGTCGATGTTGTATCCAGTCGGTATGATAGCCCTGGTTCCGGCTTCATGCTTCCTGGATCATGCGGCCAGATCACAAGCTTCTGCGGGAGCCTTCTTGATCATCAGGCCCCCGGCACGGCACTGCAAAATTTCCTGGACGTCCAGGCTGGGCTTATGCTTTCAGGCTGCCCTGTCTGGTACGCCGTAGGTCGCTTCCTGATCACCAGGATATCCCCTCTTGCTGAGGCATCGTACCACTTCTGCCAGCACTCCTTCAGGCACAAAATTAGATCAGTAACATGATTGGGAATGATCTTGTGAGGCTGCAGTCCCAGCGCACTCAAACAAGGAATGAGGAAATAACAAAACAGAAGTCTGCAACAGATACACATTACGTAAACTGTTGCATTTAAACTACAGTTTTTGTCAAATATATTTCCTCCTTGGGTCTTTCTAGTGAGTAAAACCCAGTTCCCTTTCAAGGGAACTTCAAACTGCGTCCTCTAGGGGTCACTATGGGGAACGCCTCGTCGTGACCCATGTCTGAAGCATACATTCAAAAAACATCAACATCAAACATCATGACGTCACTACCGGTGCGACTATAGTATAAATAGGTGCCGGGAGAACACGTCATTCTCTTCTTCGTCTTCATTGACTGCTTTGTTTGAAGCGTGCATTCCATGGTAAGAGCGATCTTTCTTCCTTCATTATGGCGAGCACTAGCAAGACGTTTAGAAGATGTGTGCATCCGTGTCGTCGTTATTTGACACCTGATGACACACACGATCTTTGCGTCTTTTGTTTGGGCGGAGAGCACGCACGTGATGTCCTCGAGTTTTTCGGTGAAAAAACTTTTTCGGTGAAAAAACTCAGCTCTCATTTGTCTCTCTTTTTGAGGAGAGAGAGACAGCCATTTGTTCCCCGCGGTTCAGGACCCGCCGCTGCTGAGGCACGGAGGAGAATAAGCTTGTGGGGATTGCAGGTGGATCTGGCCGATGAGTTTAAAGAGGGGATTTCCTTCTCTGTATGAGGAGGGTGAAGAAGCTGAGACTGAGCCCTCCCAATCTTCCTGCCCTGCATATGATGAGCTATTGGAGGTTATGGATTGTGCCACGACGAGGCTTGACTTGCTGTGGAAGCGGGACAAGAAAGTAACGTCACGAGGTCGTCTCAATGAGCGTTATCTTTCTGACCATAGCCCTCCAGCTCAGGTGAGCCTTCCTTTTCTTCCTGATCTTCATACAGAGATCGAGAAGGAATGGAAGAGGCCGTTTTCCTCACGCATCAATCGGTTCCAGCATACGAGTTATGCCAACATTGAGGGGATGCGTGAAAGCGGCTATGAGAAGATGCCCCCTGTAGAAGAGACGCTGGCTAGCTATCTCTCTATGGGTGAGACATCCTCTCTTAAGACTCCCTCCTTGCCATCTAAGCCCCTTCAGGATACATCTCGCTTAAATGGCAGGGCATACGCAGCAGCAGGTCAGGCTGTCGCTTCGTTGCACACAATGGCGGTGCTTCAGGCGTATCAGGCTGATCTACTGAAAGACCTGGATAAAGGCGAGGGCCTTTCTCCGGATGCGGTAGCTGAGTTGCGCCACACCACAGATCTCGCTCTCCGTGCTACTAAGCAGGCCGCCTCTGCTATGGGCAGGTCCATGGCGGCTATGGTGGTAACGGATAGACATCTGTGGCAGATATCGGGAAGAAAGAGAGGGGCTTTCTTCTCGATTCTCCGGTTTCGCCTTCCGAAATTTTCGGTACCTCCGTCAAGATGGTGGTTGAGAAGTTTAGGAAGGCGAAGGCGCGCTCAGCGGCCTTCAAATCCTTCATTCCACGAAGCTCCAGGTCTGAGCCCGAACAACCCAGGGCTCCTGGCCCGTCTTGGTCTGAGGATCAGAGACGGGCACAGAAGGTTAGTGTCGCGGCTCGCGCTCCTCCCCCGCCTGTGGGTCAAAGGGAGGTAGGCAAGACCTAAGGGAAGACGAGGCGACGAGGCACCAGTGTTTTCTGGGACCTGTGTGTTTCTGTCCTTTTCTAGGGTAGGTCCTCGGTGAGCACCTGGATTCAGGGATTCAGAAACCGGGTTCTCGACTTGCAGTGATTGCCTCAGTCGTCGATGTTGTATCCAGTCGGTATGATAGCCCTGGTTCCGGCTTCATGCTTCCTGGATCATGCGGCCAGATCACAAGCTTCTGCGGGAGCCTTCTTGATCATCAGGCCCCCGGCACGGCACTGCAAAATTTCCTGGACGTCCAGGCTGGGCTTATGCTTTCAGGCTGCCCTGTCTGGTACGCCGTAGGTCGCTTCCTGATCACCAGGATATCCCCTCTTGCTGAGGCATCGAGCGGGAAGTATAGGTGGCATTTGCGAGAACCTTCTTGTGAAATGCTGTCTCAGGCAGTGCTCCCCTCGTCTCAGAGGGTTATCTTTGAGCTTGCCACTCCCGTTTGGCTCAGTACTTCCGGGCATCTGTGAGCAGATGCTTGGGAAGCTCTTAAATCCATGCTATGGTAAGTGCACTCGCTAAGCTTTGTGCACTTTCTGAAATCCACATGGTGGTAAGTGTGCACCTCTGCACACTTTCTGAAATCCTGTATGGTAAGGGTTACGCGTTATTAGCCTCGTTCCCTTTCTCTGAGTTGGCTTAGACCCCGGTACTCGCCTTGGGCTCCACTCAACCAGTGTGTCTCTGTTGACACACCTTTGAAGTATCGCTCCCCTAACCATTGAGGGTTATTGTGAGCATGGGGCTTTCTTTCGAGCGTTTGAATTCTCTCCATTTCTGAGGAGTTGGATTCCTCGCTCCGTGGGCTGTTCTCGTAGTAGTATTTAGCAGTGCTCCCCTTTATCAAAGGGTTGCCTATGAGCACGCTACTCCTTTCTGAATTTGGAGTTCTCCTCTCACATGAGAGTTGAGTTCTCTGTTTTCCCAGAGCACCTGGAACTGGCAACATCAGGCGAACTAGGCCCTTCCTCTGCCTCCCTGGTGCGCTGAGTTTTTGGCTAAGCTTGCAGTACGCTTACCCTTCTGATTTCTAACGAACATGCTGTAGGTCGAGCTCCCTCTCGACTGAGAGCTGGGTGTGTTGCTCCCTCAGCTAGGTAACTTACTGCTAGCCATTCCAGCATTTACCATAGATCGAGCTGATGGCTTCTCAAACATTTTGTTCTGGTGATGTACCATTTCCATCTATGGGCTGCTCTTTCAGAGTCCCACGAGAGCCCCTTAGGATGATATCTTTAAAATCCATGTTATGGTAAGTGAAGTCTTTGTACACTTTCTAAAATCCACACTGTGGTAAGTTCGCACGCTAGTACTTTGCATTCTTTCTAAAATCCTGTATGGTGAGGGTTACGCGCGGCAGCTTCGTGCCCTTTCTTGAGTTGGTTAAAGCCCCGGTTAAACCTTGGGCACCACTCCACCTATGTATCCTCTGGATACCTACTTTAACAGGGTGTTGCTACTAGGGGTTTGTTGAGACAGTTCCTTCAGCAAGCTCATGCAGAGCAAGCAGTAGCCCCTGTGTGACAGGCCAAGACTTAGTATGATGCTAGGCTCTTGGTCGTATCCCCTTAAAGGAATCTATTCCTGATTCCAAGCCTTGAACTCTTCCCCAGGCCCAGGAGTCTGGCCCTAAAAGGTAAGTTTTTTGGGGTATGTAGCCTAGGCCTTTGGTCGTAGGGGATAATGTCACGGACAGCCGTCTAACGTCCTAGGGGCAACTCCCTTGGCTATGGGAGAGTTGGTACTTAGTGCTCGCCATAGGTTTCTGGCATGCACTCCCCTCAGCATGGTGGCGTGGGTGTACCGTTCCCCTTAGCGACCCCTAGAGGATGCAGTTCGAGGTTCCCTTGAAAGAGAACGTCTCAGGTTACTTATGTAACCATCGTTCCCTGAATAGGGAATGAGACACTGCATCCTCTAGGTTTCCTGCCATGCTTCGGATGCCAGCTTCAGACGAAGAAGTGAATGACGTGTTCTCCCGGCACCTATTTATACTATAGTCGCACCGGTAGTGACATCATGGGCTGTCGCCGGCCAACATGTTGTTGGTGTTTTTTGAATGTATGCTTCAGACACGGGTCACGACGAGGCGTTCCTCATAGCGACCCCTAGAGGACGCAGTGTCTCGTTCCCTACTCAGGGAAGCCATGGTTACATAAGTAACCTGAGACGTTTTCAAAGGGGTGAAAACACAAATACATAAAATTCTACTAATCATTTCCATGAGCACTTCTACATACGTACAGTAAGACAAAGAATTTTAAGCTGTGTTTTGCTGGCATGTGATTGGCAGGCACCACGGTATTGTACATTCAGGTCTTTATACCAGAGAATGCTGTGAATATGTATAAGTTCAGCATGTGTGTGTGTTTAGTGTGTGCGTGGCACAGGGTGCTGTAGGGTCATGTGTTCTGCCCCGGTAAAAGGTAGGCGCTGGGTACAGTAGTGGTGCACCACTTCTGGGATGCTTGGGAACACACAGCTGCTTTTTTCCAGTGTGTAGCCGCACTCCTTAGTCTGCGCTACGATGATGTGCACACATCCTTGACTCGTCCTGTCGAGAGAGGGAAATAAGGATCTTATATAATCTATGTCAGCATTTCAGGACTGCTAACTCATTACTTGTTCTCTCGATTTCAGAGATACACAAGCATGCACTTACTTGAGGGCGATGGAGTATTTGCTGGTAGCTGATTCGCTGTCTCGCAAAAGGAAGCTGGCCTCCCTACAGTGCTGCAGCTGAGCCTCTGCCTCCTGACGACTCACACTGCCATGATACCAGCTAGAGAGAGAGAGACAGAGACGTGAAAAAAGGAGTGTAGATATTTCTACACAGTACAATTATGTAATATGATTAGAAAAGGTATAAAATGTGGATGAAGAGAATTAGGAGGCATTGAGAAAGTTGGACAACAGTACAAATGGATAGATTTGCCAAATAACACATTTTAAGTGTTGAAGCAACATTTTCAAACTAAAACTCATAATAAAAATGAAAATGTATGACTTTATTTCTTCTGTGGAACACAAAAGAAAACATTTGGAAAAATGTCTCATTGTTTTTGTCCATAAAGTGAAAAGTCAATGGGGTCCAGTGTTGTTGAGGATCCCACTAACTTTCATTGAATGGACAAAAACAATTTTCAGAATATCTTTTATTTTCCACAGAAAAAAGAAATTCATACATGTTTGAAATGACATGAGGGTTAGAAAATGACAAAATATTCACTTTTGAGTATGCAAGACCGTGCTATATTGTTAATATAGTGAAGTTACATGCACTTTCTGAATCATGACAACCAAAATAATAATAATAATAATAGATAAAATGTTATAAAAAACTTTATAACAAAAATTTGGGCCCTTTGTGTTTTTATTTTGTAGTGTATCAAAAGGCTGCAATTATTTGATCAAAAATACAATAAAAACAGTTATGTGTACTGTGAAATATTATATATTTTAAAATGATTTTTTTCCTGTAATGGCACAGCTGAATTTTCAGCAGCCATTACTCCAGTCTTCAGTGTCACATGATTCTTCAGAAATAATTCAAAAACATGAAAAAAAATCTTACTTAATTATTCCAAACCTAATATAAAATAATATAAAACAAAATATGTGCAAAAACATAAATATTACTACTTACAAAATTGTATATAAACTATTAAAAATATACTACAAAATAAAAACATCAAGGGTGCAAATTTTCATTAGAACATTGTTATTGTGCAAATTCACAAAGCGTTGACATTCTTCCTTAAGATATAGTTCCTGACATGTAATGTAAGGTTAGAATTACCTCTATTATAAGTGCTAATATACACAGTAGCTAGATTATCATGTTTATGTCATAGCTGTTAATATACTGTGTATTTTAGCACACATATTCTCATTACAGTTTTATTTTCATCATCTCACTTTTTTAGTTTCAGGTATCCCACATAAAATCTCAACATTTTTACGACAGACACAGACACACACACACACACACACACACACACACACACACACCTCTGTTTCTCCAAGGGCAGGGTAGGATCAACTATTGGTGTCTCACTGTCTGGGGTGGTGCTGGGAGATGAAGGGGAAGTCGGGGACGGGGGATTCAGTCGAAGGGTTTTAGGGGTCCAGCTCTTATGTCTCAGTGTCTGCTGTTTTACAGTAGGAGAACCTGACTCTTCCTTCGACATGCGCTCTATTCCATCAAACTGAGCTGTACACAGAAAGAAACATCAACCACCACCATAGTTTTTATTATGGCATCTGCCAATAACGACCCCAGCCTCCCCCGCTATCCCAAATGTTTCGAACAACCGCTACATCATAAGTTCCTTAATAACATGAACTAACTGTTTAATAGTTTTCCTCATTAGGCTGTGTCTATGTATCGGTAATGCTAAATAAAGAAGATGCTTCTAATATGAATGTGAGGTATGTTACCTGACAGTGCTCTAACAATCTGCTCCTTCTTCCACTCCCAGGGCAACTCATACTCTGCTGGTGGTCTGGGGTCGGACTCAGGTCGGGTCAAGGGAATTCCCTCCAGAACCTCCTCATATGGGACATCATAGATCTGAGGAGGTCCAGACCCCTCACTTTCTCCTCCATTCAACACTACACACACTTTCAGCAAGTCCTTCGAGCCTCGTCGGCGAATCTCTGCGTAAGGGCACAAATTTACATGTAGGATCAGAACTCTTTCCAGAAAAGATTTCATAGGATAATAACAGTACTAGAAAGTTATTTGTAGAACATTGCCCAAGTAAACTAGTTATTCTTAGGCTGCAATTATGCTGCGGTCTCACATTAGCAAAATTTTACGAGCAAAAAATTGTCAATTTTCTATTGTCAATAATGTAGAGATGTATGAAGTAAAGATCACACAGAAGTCACTTTCAAAATAAGCAGATTTCTGTAAGTCAATACAAATTTGCATGACCAACTTGAACACGCTGTGAAATCTGTGTGGGGAAATCTTACAGCCTCATGTGAAATTCCAGATCGTGTGGCTTCCTATTGACTAGATTTTGCAAAATATTTGCAGAACAACAGTAAATGTGACTGCACCTTTAGTCTCACATTTATCAAGCTTCCACATATTCTCATATTTACAAACCATAATATAACACATTCTGTTATGAACCTTGCATTTGAGCAGCCAACCACTGCCCACCAAATGTATCTTTAAGTAGGACTGAATTAATCGTTTCTCAGTTTGACTGTAAGTGGAAAAGGATGGCCTTACTTGTCCCTAGAAATCACTACCTACTGTAATATGCACATCCAGATGCTTAATTTACAAGTAAATAGCCCATGTGCTAAAGATAAGGTTAGGTTCTAAGTTTAGATTTTACATTTAGACTGAATATTTAAATTTGTTTTTATCTTTAAATAATATAGATACAGATTAAAATATGAAAAAGAGAAAAACAAAACCTTATTACACAACACAAAACATAACATATAGATATCTTGTATATAGACTTTTTAAAGAAAAAAAAACTTTTTCTGTCAAGAAAATATTTTTTTTTTAGCATTTTCTATCATTCTCACCCATAATTGTATAACACTGCATTTTCAGTTTAGTGCATTTTACTTTCATCTCAAAATCTGTGTACGTATGCATCTATTCATTCTTCAAGATTTAAAGTTCAGCATCAACAAAACATTGCCTGGAGCTCCATCATTCTCCCTTCACTCACTGTTTCGTTGCTGTCACTTTGTGTCTGGCCTATTGTGTGAGAAAACAATGGTCATACCAGGGGAAAGTCAGACCAAGTCTGATTGGCTGGCTTAGCCGGCCACTTCCTGAGTTCTGGGAAGTGATTGGGGGAGTGAGGAGTGCTGGGGGGGTCTTTCTCACATAGCCAGGCATACTGGGGGGACGGCAGGGGTCAACTTCCTGTCCATAGAATGGGGCAAAGGAAACACAGACAGGAAACAGGAAGCAGAAAGAGGAAACTGCACCCATTGTCCCAGCACAACACTGTCACTGTGGAAACCACCAAAGAGGGGAGAGAGGGAGTTGTGATTTTTCATACCCTTCAAATCCCTGAAAATCTACTCGCGACACTGATATACTGCATATGAGAAATGTTTTAGTTGAATAAACAATTAAAAGAAAGAGAAGTAAAGAAGAGAAGAGGTGGTGTACCTGTAATAATGAGCTGGGCATCATAAGGTTCCATGTAGCCATCATTCTCTCCTTCTCTTTCAGCCTCTCTCTGTTCCCTCGTTTTCTCAGCATCAAATGGGTCAGCATAATCCTCCAGGATGATCTATTATGAGTGAGAAGAAAAGAAGAATAGAAAGAGATATCAATGATTTGTGTTCACGTCTACACCCTCAAAAGTACAGAAATATTCTGAGTTTAGTAGAAGTTCAGCTCAATCAAAAGCTTTTGTGGCATAATGTTGATAAACACAAAAAATATTTTGACTTATCCCTCATTTCCTAAAAAAAAAAAGGATGCAGAAATTGAGGTTTCAGTGAGGCACTTACAATATAAGTAAATAGGACCAATTTCTGGAGGATTTAAAAGCAGAAATGTGCAGCTTAAAATGTTTGTAAAAGCACTTCTGTTGAAACTTGTTTATTATTTAAGATGTAAATTTGTTCTCTTAATTTTTAGGGTTGTTTTAGGGTTTAGGCATTATGTTGTCATGGTAACAAATTATAAAATTGCATATTACACAGAAAAGGTTAGTACGTGATGTTTCACACTAAAATAATGTTAACATGCTTGAAACTAATATAACAGTGAGTAACAATGAGTATTTTAATGTTATGGATCAGCCCTATTCTATTGTACATGCCTCATAGTTTTTTAAGGAGGAATAAGTTGAAATTAATGTGCTAATCAATTTTTTTTCTTTCTGTTCTAACATATCAATGTAACATTAAATTTCATAGCAAAGTAATTAGTGTCATGCCAAAAGTGCTATTGATTGAGCTTGACTTTATATGAACTTACAATATTCTGTAAATAATATGACACAAATGTTCACTAGTGGAGGTTCTACAATCATCTACTTCAGAAATAGTGCAAAGCCAGCTAAAAAGAGCATTTAGTCAAAACCTGGAGTTAAATTTCATCTTACTGGGTGGAATTCTTTATTCTGTCTCATAGTTGAAGAGTGTTACTGTAGCTGAAGAGCTTATGCTTATTCTTCAGCCCATCTTTCCCCTTTCTTTCTCTGATTCTCCCTCTGGACATAATATTTTGTGTGTGTTTGACCTCGTGAGATTCTGATTTCTGTGCTATTATGTTCAAAGTGTAGCTGGAGGGGATGTCCGTAAATGGGAGGGGATTCAGTCTATGTATCAGGTGACATAATTCTTCAAACACTGCCTTCACTAGGGACTGGAAGAATGGGATGGAGCCATTGTGTTATGTATGCATTGTATTCTTTGCGTATTTGTGAGCAAGGGTGTGTGTGTGTGTATGCACACAAATGTGTGTTTCCCACAAAGACAGAGTGAAGAGTGTGCATGACTAGAAAAAGAGGCAGGAAGAGAGGCAAGGAAAAGGCTCACATTGTGTTTGTTGCTTTTCAGCTCCACTGTGTCTGGTTATAATACAGCAGTTCAATGAAAAGGGAATATAGGGAGAAAAAGTGAGACGTGGGGAGGGAGCAAAGAAAGATACGAAAGAGAGAAGAGGGGGCTGAGAGAGGGGAGAAAAAGATATTGCTGTAATAAAGAACTGGAAGGGAGATATTGATCTCAATTTTCAAAACAAAGACATTTGTTTGGTTCTCACAGTCAACAGGGTGACTGGGAAAATTGGAGTATGTCAAAGAACACATCTCTGAGGCCTACTTTATCACTCAGATCAGGGCCATTCTTCCTTTATCCCTGCTGAAAAACCATCCTAAACCAATCTAAAATGCTGGTCTCAGTTGGTTTGAGCTGGTCTTATTTCAGGTCGTCAGCAAGTAGACCAGCATTTAGGTTAAAAGAACCATTAAAAAAATTATTTTCCCCCATAAGTGTGAAGAACATTTTAAAAAATCGAAACCTTTTTCCACTATAAAGAACATTTTGTGGGACTGAAAGGTTCCATGGATGTTCGAGGTTCTTCATGGAACCATAAATTCCAATGAAGAACTTTTATTTTTAAAAGTGAAGGAGGTTAGCTTTTTTTGTTCAGAGATGAATTTACACATTTTCAGAAAAAATGTACATGATGTAATTCTGATTATTTGTATATTGTGGTGTTGCCTCATTCTCAAACTTACCGTTTCTGTCCTGATTGGTGACTTGGCCCTCTCGCTGTCTGGAGATGATCCTCCTACACTGGATTTGGGATCATTAACCTTGATCATTCTGCTCGTGTACGCGTCAGCAAGACTGGTGGTCCGCAGGGTGCGATGGTCTTCAAACCCCTCCATTTTGGTGTTCTTCTTACTTTTCCCAGGGATCAGAATCTCCCATATCTTCCCGTCTTTTATCGAGCCGGTGCTGGAGTGGTTCCGTCCCAGCTCGATGGCCGAATTTTTACGATTTCTCCCGTGGAGCAGCGAACCCACACCACCACCACCACTGCCACCGTTTTCCGCTCCAGAATTTTTACTTCCCTTCGAACCAGTACCGACCGTCAGAACCGGTTTGGGACGGGACTGAGTTCCCGATTCCGAAGCAGAACGGGTCCGGTCGGATCCAGTCTTCAAACTAGTTGGAAAATCTTTAAACCACTTCGCCATGGTGAACACGCACAGGTGTCGGCGCCACTCTCCATACACACGCGCAACTCCTTTAGGAAAATAATCGGCTTCTAAAATATCACTGACTATGGCCCTATAGTTGATTTTTTTTTTTGCCTAATTAATAACACTTTAACGCACAGTTTTTTAAACAAGTATTAATTTTGATTAATATACTTAAGCTAATTTTAAAAAATCTGTAAAATTGATTTAGGGAAAGTTTCCGAATATTAAATTTATTTTTATGTAGGCTAATCTTGTTTACAGAATTTATCCCATTCCTATTTCTTTTCAGGAAACTTCTTTCACTCTCAACTATAGGCTATACTACGATTCTTCACATTGGAATATAATGTCTTGCTTTTGTTTGCTCCCAATTATTCCCGCAAGATAAAGAGGAGTCTCTGAAGGGCATAAACGCGGAAAAATTTAAAGTTTTTCTTAGCTCTCGCTGAAGATCCCATTCCCGGTATATCCACTCCAAGCTACAGTCTAAATGAAGTGAAGGGGATGTACATGTACGTGCGTTTGTGCTGCAGCTGTGGGTGGGGGTGGTTTCTGTGCCTCTGCAGGCAGCTACTGTTCCCCTAAATGGGAACTTTTCACCCACCTGTAGATGCAAACCTACTGCTCACTTAAGGCTCTGGTGCTCAGCAAATATATTTTTAGCTTTATCAAAACGTTTCCATTTACTTGACACACTCTTTACTCCAGTGGGTAGACTATTTTACTCAGTGAAGGTCCATTTCTGGGAAAGTCTTGGCTATAACTAACTAAATAATCAACTATACCTAATAAACAACTATTTGACATTTCCATCGTTGTAGACTCCAGGGGGTAGGCTACTCCAGTATAGGTCCATTTGTGGTAAATAAATAAATAAATATACAGCTATATTAAACAACTATTTGACATTTCCACCGTTGTTGGCTACGGGGGAAAAAAAGATAATTGAACACATTTTGGCCAAATAGCGGGGCATGTTGTCACATGGAGTAAGTCGTCAAATTTTGATGCTTACTTTAAACAGTAAATGTGAAATTAAATGCTAAAAAATATATGACAAAGCAGCAAAAACAGTTAAAATATAAGAAGCGAATATTTAAATATGATTTTGTTCTTAATAATTAAAAAAAAACTAAATGCTGAACAATTATTGTGCAAGACACTACCACAGAGGGGCAGCAGTTTACACCGGGTAACTGGCCCAAGTCACTTGTTAGGGCAGACACATAGGCAATTTAAAGTTATTTATGCTGCCTTCATCTAGTGGCTGATTAATAAAACATTCATAATTCATTGATAAGACGTAAACATTAATTAATTACGCATTAATTTAATTAATTAGAAACAACAATACACGTGTCTGCTTGAAAATTAGCTATTTCTGGCATTCCAAAGTGTTAGAATTGTTCTAATTGGCACCGACTTTAATACTTACCTACTGTATAAGGTTATACACACACATTTCTATTGTTACATTGTTCTTAAAAGGGTAACTCAAAATACTGAAAGTTGAAAACTGGATAGTGTCTCGGCTCACAGGTGACTACTGTGAAGAGTAACAGCATTATCAAGTGTTTATGAACTCTGTCAATCATCTCAGCTTATCGTGGAACGTCTTGAAGAATTTATTGAAAAGCATCTGGACCAGTTTTTCCAGTTATTGAAAACGATAAAGTAAGCGAGAACGATTCAGTAAACGAATAATTACTGAATAAATTCTGCAAGACACTACACGGGACATTTACTCTCATCGGCGGCCAACTAACTATAACCAGCTGCACTCAGGTTCTGCACTAGTTTTGGATTGTACTTTGTAGGCCTAGTGTTTGATTGTACTTTTTATGATGCGCTTTCCCCATCGTCGATTCAATTCAGTTTTTAATGTATTCTATTTACAAAAACAGACTTTTTTAAGATACACCCTATTTTGCACCCGAATACGATACTATCAGATTTTATAATATCTATATCTACAAGACCACGTCGATATAAACAACCTTCACAACTCTATTTGCATGCATATCGAATTGCGCAACAGACAGTTACACGTGCACGCAGAGGTTTAAGCCGACCGAGTCAAATTAGTAACAAAACTAAACGTTCCTGTCTCTAAATCATATCACCAAATTTACATTTCACTCCAGACAACCCCGTTCCAGATTGAATTGTGATTGACACACAATCTTACCAATAACCGAAAGAGAAATGGTTTCACGCGTTCCACCCACGACGCCTCTATCAGCCAATGAGATTATGGGTGGGCGGAGCATGTGGTATCGGTCTGAAAGGTAACAGGTTGTCTTTAGCCAATGTTTTCCCTTGGGTTTATTACCGTAGTTAGAGCTGTCACATTTAAAGAGACCATCTTTACTTTTACAATATTAGTTCTCATGAAGGAGAACCACAGGGAGGAACAGAGGAACATTCCGCAGAGTTAAATATAAACTTTGCCTTAACATCAGGTAGGTCAAATGTTATTTTTGTTTCGCTAAACCTGTTAGCCTATGACTAGAAATTGATGCTAAGTTGTTTGTCTCGCTCCAGATGCTCCAACTCATTCTCGAGCCGAACTTTCTTCCTCTGGGAGTGACACTTGTTTCGCTCGCATACTTGGAGGTTTAGTTGTGTTTTGGTCCTGTTTCATGCTATTCTTAAGTGGTCTTCTCTAAAGATGGATTAATGTCTGTCCAAAGGATTATTGGCTAATTTAGCCCGCTGGTTTTCGCTTCGCCCCGAGAGACTTCATAACTCATTGAGTTTCGCTCATAGCGCAGGTGCATCGCCAGGTGAACACCTGCGCTTCTGTCTGTGGGAACAAACTCATGAGAGAAAAGCTTGACGAGGCAAACAATTCCGATTAAACTGTGTTGTGATTGTTTACCTCCTCACCACAGCCCAGAAAGTCCGCTGTTTGTATAGCCTAATTTTCATTCAGGTGAATAACGAGTCAGTCAAACACGCCGTGAGCGATCAGGTTACTGCGTCAGGTAGACTGTCAAACGTTTGCTGTTTAAAGGGACTACTACATAAAAGAACAACCAACTTTTAAGTGAATTAAAGCGATAATGCTGATTATTTTTATACTTCGCTCATTTGGTAGTTCCGTGGTCATGTTATCGAGACGTCAGGACCTTTAGAGATTTGAAAACCAGTGAATTCTATAGGCCCGGGTTGAGCAATGCCACACAAACTCTTTACAATAATACTAATTCTCAGGCATTTAAATGATTGCTTCTCGACCTGTTTCTATGTACGCCCACAGCTCCATCAGTAAGGGTCAAGTTTAGAAATGTGTTATTATTATCATCTAATATATTGGATATAATTCAGTTTAATCATTGATATTATTCAAGTGGCCATTATTACAGAGATTCGTGTTAATCTTATGGACCCTTTTCACAGATTTTGATGTAGCTGTGGAAAGTCTAGCAAAGGTTTTTTGTTTTATATTTTCCATATTTAAAAAAATGTAATATACATTTATAACACAGTACTTTGTGTTTGCTTACCTTGGCATTAAATTACACAAAGAAGCTAACATAATACACATAACACAAACTATTTGCTGCTGCATGAGTGTTTCTAATACAATAGCTGAGTGCAAATTTGACATCTTTCTCACTTTTGACCAGCGTAATCAATCTTACAATTTTCCTCTTTTTGAATGTCATAGAAGAAACACTAAAGTGGATTTTTTTTCTTTTGCTACTGGAGCAAATGGGAATGCAAAAAAAATCTATATTTGTTATAGTTTCTTTTCACCACTTATAAAGGTTTCTACAAGACTTTTCATACACTTTAACAATTCTGGCTGGAATAATGGAGTAATTTTATTTATTTATTTACTTTACTCAAATGTTTAATTAAATCTTGATGAAACAATAGATTTCGCTCTGGTAATGTATGCCGGTCTTCTCCAGTCATTTAATTCGCTTAAACCCCGGTACTTTAAATGGAAAAACAATCAGTTCTGTGGGTGGAAAATCTTCTCACCAAGAAGCTTTCCCCTAATGATACACATGCGCTTTTGATTTTCATATGTTTTAACGATTCTTTGGCTGGAAATATGGAGTAATTTCCCCAAGAAATACCTAATGGCACATTTATTAATATGAAATCCAATTAAGTAGTAATTAATGTTTTATAGGTTTTAAGCAAAATCTTTCCAACTACCCCCTCTTGAACCTGCTAAAGTATGCTCAGGGGTGCACATCCTGGTTGGGAATCTTTGGAATTAATTAAAAGCATACTTTTCATTTGAATCATTGTTTGCACGTATTTCGACGATAGAACTGAAACACATTGTTCTTTTATCTCCCATATCACTGGCATCTTGGTTATTGACCTATGACTACTTTGTGCTGAGCTATAGACAATCATAATGATATTACTGCTCTATCACTGGACATTAATCCTCTAGTGTCATTCACAGCTGAGAGTCATAACTTGCTTCAGTTTTTCCAAGCTGAAAAACTTGGAGTCATGAATACATCACATGCTGGTATTAGATAAGATTTCTTTGTATCTTGTGTGGATTTCTGGAAGTATGATTTCTGTTTTGCAACAGTGGAGCCTGTTTTAGTCATGCCGGTGAGATCCATTAGACACACAGAAGAAGAAATTCTTGTCTGTCTATAATTCAAACAAGAAGAGTAACTGAAGGTGGGGGTGCAAGAAAGGAAAGAAGAGATTGAGAGGGAGTTTGGCAGGAGACAAAGAATGTGAAGGGGAGTCGAGCACTAATGGAGGGATGCCAGACTCTTTAAAATGGGATGAAAGCTTATGATAGGCTACCCTTTTTCAGATGCTTTCTCACTGCAATTTGAGTCCTTAATTTGTAGAGTAATCTAGATGAACTCTATATCTCACCTCTGTCAGGTAAATCACCCCAGAGCGAATATCAGTGATTGGTTTATCCTTCTCAAATTAAAGGGGTCCTATTATGCTTTTTCACTCTTTGAATTTTAGTCAGTGTGTAGTGTGTATGTTTGGGCATAAAAAAGATCTTCAAACGTACAAATCTCAAGTCCACTCCAAAGGGAGATATTTCGTTTTTTTAAAAATCCCTTTTCAAGAACTACAACGAACAGCTGTTTGGACTACAGCGTTTATTTTCTGGGTTTTGTGATATCACAAAGCGGCCCATTAGAATATCATTAAAATAATTCCTGCCTACGGAAATTTGAATGGTTGGGGGGTGGGGAGGGGCGAGGTTGTGGTTAGAATGCTTGGTTGAGTGCATCAGACAAGACGACGACGAAGAAATGTTGCTGTAGCCTCAAGGTTTCGCAAGTTATTACACATGCACCTGAATAATTATGTATGTAAATGTGTATGTTACAATTATGAAAACGTTTTTATAATAAATTGCTGACAGTACAATACTGAACAATGACGTAATCTGTAGAATTTACACTTCAATTATGAGACTGCAGTGTTTCCCATACATTGAGTGCGGGTGTTTTTATATCACT